CAGCAGGCACTGCCCCCGCAGCTCCCATTGGCCACAGTTGCCAGCCAATGGGAGCTGCAGAACCGGGCTTAGGGTGAGGTGAAGGCAGCACGTGGAACTCAGGAGCCAGATAAGGAGCCTGTCCCAGCCCCACTAACCCTCCCCGCTGAGCACCCACAGCGTGCCCCTGCCAGGCTGGCCCCCCTGCACCAAGCACCTGGGATGCCCCCTGAGCACATGTGGCGTCCCCAGCCCCGTGACCTGTCTGTGACTTCTACTAAAAATACCCGTGACTAAAATGTAGCCTTATATATAAGGGCAGGTTGAACACTGGGAGTGTCCATTATTCATGATGTACCATCAAGAAAAGTCTGAAGTACAGTTCAAAATTTTCAAACTTGGGTTCCTAAAATTAGGCACCCAAATAAATTATCTGGTTCTCAGAGGTAATGAGCACCCCCAAAATCACTGGGAACTGGGGTTGCTCAGCACATCTGGAAATCAAGCCATCCGGTCAGGTATCTAAATGCAGATTTAAATGCCTTTACTTTAGATACCAAATTTTGAAAATGTGGGCCTTTCTGTGTTGAAGCGGTCAAAATCTTGGGATGATTTTTCAATGTCTGATGGGGAACTAGCTGAAACCATCAATATGACTTGCCATCATAAACATAAGCTCCTGGTGGAAGTATTTACAGGCACTTTCCTTGTTAAGGGATAAATGTTAAGTAAACTAGTAAGATTTTTTGACAAATCTCTATAGTACTGTGGTTATACTGGGATAGAATCCTTTGAGCCTCTGTCTAGAGCCATTTCTCATTTGCCTGGGGTACTGAGATTTGGGAGACAAGGTATCAAACTCTTCTTGTATAATTTGGGGGTGGCATTATTTTAAGAACACTTGGCTGAAGAAAACAGATATAAGAACAGTACATACCGGAGGGAAAGATACATTACGCTTCCTTGCACCCTAGGAAAAGGAATTTTTAGTTTTTTGGTGAAATGCTTGACTAAACAGACAATTCCTCCTCAAGCATAAAGGCCTGATGCATAATTTGAAATGATATTCAGCTTTCAAAGATTGCTGTGGAAAATCACTTTGAGTTGGGGCAACTACTCACTTCCAGTCAGACTGTTGACATCAAAGTAATACAGCCTCACCTGTAAATAAGCCTCATTTAATTTCTGCTTATTCTGAGTTTTCTACAAGAAAATCTTTAAAACCAAATTAGGACATCCCTGGCCCCGCATGACAAAACAGTTGCGCTCAACCTTTTTGTAATAATCTCAGTTATGTGTTGTTTTAATACAACAGAATGAAATTTCCTGGCAAGGCCTCTGCGCAAGGAAAGCATCTCTGATAGATTTCCTAAGGCACATCCATTTTACGATGGGTGTGCTTTCAGGGTGACTGGGAGGGACAGCAGGAGGCTTAGAGAAAGAAATATTTTTAAAAATTGCTTGTGTATATAAAAATCACACTCTGAGGGGAAAAAGAGAAAGGCAGGGGGTGAAATTCTGGCTCCACTGAAGTCAATGGCAAAACTGACATGGACTGCAGTGGGGCTCAGATATCACCATTTCTATGTCCTCTCTGATCTGCAGAATATTTTACTTTAAGGAGGCCGCTACGGTTCTGGGTAGGAGACCCAGACTTCGGGTCAAGAACCTTCTACAATAAGTACAGCAGAATCCAGATTATCCAACGATCTCAGGGGTCCCACCTGCAACATTCAGCTAACAAAGGCTCTGACTCTGCAAACATTTGAACACATTAGTAACTTTATGCTGTGAGTAGTGCCATTGAACTCATGCATGTATATAGGGTCAAGTCACAAGGGAGTCAAGTAAGGTGGTATTGAAGCCTGCTTTCAGGGTCCAGGAAGACAGACCTAATGGTTTGACTCTGCCAAAGGCAACAAGAGTCAGGCCTGGAACTATACAGAGCTGAGGTGCACAAGAAGTGCAGTCCTGTGATGTGCAGATGATCTGTGGCACTGGAATTTCAGCTGATTCTCAAGGGAAATTTCCAGTCTTTGGATTGGAGTTTTGTTTAAGATGGCTTCAGAGTGGAAGTTTTCCTGTACTTGCACTTTAGCAGACTAACACCACCACATTCACTTCCCAAAGCAATACTGAAGAGAGTACAAAAGAGTCTGAAATTAAGGGGCCGGATGAGAAGAGGCAACATTTGACACTAATTTAGAAGCCTCAATCTCTGCTGGGGAAGGAGACCCTGGTGGGACTAATTGTACTTGTTAAGTAAGTGAAGATCTGTTGTAAATAGAAGAGGCCAACTGAAATGTTCAGTTGCAGGTCATAAATTTGTACCCCATTTTGTGCTTTGCCCTGGTGGTATTTATCATGTGGTGGAAAATAAAGATGAGCAAGTGCCAATTGTGACCACGCTGTTTAGGGGGAAAATGAGATTTTAGCAGACCAAATTCAGTGAGAAAGGCAATTGTTTCATCCGGAAAATAAGTGAGATCAGGCTTCAGTCTGAACTTAAATGTGTCGTGAGCAAAGGCATCAAAACAATCTTGTACATCTCTTCATGTTCCATAATCTTCAAAAAGCAATTTTATAAGCCTAAGTATATAAACAATGATTTTACCCTAGATTTTATTACCAAATGGTAATTTTACATTAGATTTCATTATCAAGACATTTCAAAATACTGCAGTTATTTAATGAATGCAGTATGATTGGAAATATTCTAAATCCAACCCTGAAAGAACATTGTATGAGGCTTCAGCTGTTACATTCCCTTCCTGTATCCTTTTAATGAATTCATTTGTGAAATTTCTGAAGGGATAAGGTTACAGAGGTTGGTGAAGAAGGTGGTGGAAGTCAAATAAGAAGTCCTACAGATGCAGAACAAGATATATAGTGTGTCATAAAATATATTAGCAAATGATCATTTAAATCTCCATAATATTATTATAGAGTGTGAGGAGAAAATACATACTCTGCCTGTGAAGTTATTAAACATTTTGAATGAGTTGAACACAAAGTTTAGAGGGGGAAAATCTGCCTGACCCCTTCACAAAAAATTAATCACTAACAATATATTTTGCAAAAAACAGTTTTTCACACAGATGTTCTGTTGACTATAGCGATATAAACACTATTTAATATATTTAGTACTAGTCATTTTATAAAGGTGTAGCTTAAAAAGTAAAGGCCTTCAAAGACATTTTTCACCCTAGCATTTTGGAATAAACATATTAAAGAATTTTGCATATAGCAACATATAACATTCTAGTATGATATGGTATGTGAATTTACAACCAGTACACAATACATATTTATATAATGAAATGCCAGAAATTAAGGCTAGCTATAAAGTAGTTTTCAGAGTAAGTTATGCTTATCAAAAATGTTACAAAATTTAAATCAAAACATGCATTTCTCAATTATATTTACTGTGCTGTCAATTTAAACTGTCTGCATTAACAAGCTAAAAGTTCAGCATCCAAGATTTCAACCAAGCCCAATTAAAATTCTACATTAATTTATAATCAGTTCCTTCACATGCGTCAACACTGTTCCCATGAAATGAACATTATATGTTCACCAGTCAGATGTCTGATGCAAGCTAGCAAAAGAAAACAAAAATAAAAGAACTTTTACAAAGATACTAAAAGATCACACCTCAAATGACAGAAAGCAAACATTATTTTACAAATTTAACTTTGGCATACCAATGTACAGTTTATAATACTGTGTTGATATGACTCAAATTTTAAACCTCCAACGAGTGCGCTTTTCTTTAATACAGCTACATTCCCACCAGCTACATGATAAACATTTCTGATTTTTCTTCCCACTGCAAATCAGTCAAGTAAATAACCTACAGTACACCTATGAAACTGAAAAATAAAAATCATAACACGTTAATTACTATGTGGCAAAAAAACCCAACCCAAACACACGCATATTTTTAAAGTAGTTTGTCTGCATATTCAACTTAAATCCTTCCATGAAATAAATTGACTAAAACAAAAATTTCAAAACACTTCTATTCAGATCAGATTTCGGCAATTAGTTTATAAATATGACCAGCCACTTCCACTTCTCTGGAGTTTCAAATGAACAGACTTTGGTAAGAACAGAAGGATCCACCTACCCAGTCCAAGTATGTTAGAGAAACAATGTGCAAAGTGCACATTATGTTCTGAAAATACATTCTACAGTTTTTATTTCAGTTTGTAGAAGTAAACACCTCTAATGTGTAAGGAAAATAATAACGTGCATTTTAAAGTTAGCGGTTTTTCACCTTTACATATTTTAGTGCAAAATATTTTAGGGTGAGGACTTATGACAAAAATGGCAGTAGCAGCAAGATTTTTTTTTTTTTTACAGTAACATCAATGCTAAGAAGGTTTTTTAATAACAATAAAAGTCTATCCTATTGCAAAGATTAATATATTTAAGTGTTTCAGGCACTGGATTAATGAAACTAGCACCCCATTTCATCATGGATTTTAATGGACAAAACATGTAATGGAGGTTTGATTGCTTTAGTTATGATGCCAGAGGGTTTTTTAAAAAAACTTTTAAAGGCATATGCTGTAACTAAATATGTTGAGCATAAGACTCTTTTTCTTATAATTCAACAGTATGTTTTGAAGAAATAGTTTCTGCCCTAGTTATGAATGACTTGCTCAATGACACAAAACTTTTAACCTCTTTACAGCAGTTTCAGTTGTGAAATTCTGTGGTGGAGAAATCAGACAGTTAAAAAAAAGAAGTAATAATATTATATCGTTTACATGATGATTTGTGTAACAGTTTCTTTTTTGTGACCTTTATGATTATATCTAATATTTTAAGCTTATTTTCTTAATGTCAAAAGAGTAGATAACATTTTCTGAGACGGATTCATAAAAAAAAAATTCTTCTTGAAACATCTGAAGGATGACATCATATTACCATTACAGACCAATGTCTGTTCTTCTATTTAGTTTTCCCCAGTCAGAAACAAAAAGGAAAAATCTTGACAATGACACTGTTGATTGTCTCCACTGAAACTTAAAAGCATTGAGGTCCTCTGATGTAATTTGTAGATTCTACTACGGCAGAAGCTGAAGATATGAGAATTCCAAATAGGAAAATCTACAGAAGTTCCTAGAGTTACGATCCAGTGGAGTGCAGGCTAGGGATTGGATAGAATTTGGAAATCCGGCTCTGTGTTGAAGGGTTAAGGCATTCAGACTCTCCAGTCATTTTAAAGAAAACTTCCTGTTCTTGAAGTTTCCTAGCAAATTCCTCTTCCAGTGTCTAAAAACAACAGATTAACAAAGGTGTATATGGTGAAGTACAAAGAAATCCACTATACCAACGTGTTATTTGCCCAACCTTCATGCAACAAACCAGAAAAAATCATGCACTAATATCAAACTGAGCATTCAGAGACTTTATAGTCTACCACTTAGGTTGGTCTGCATCTGTAGGACAGTTTGCCCATAGCTATAGCTATGTTTAAGGGTCCAATTTATTTTTTACATAAATGCATATGCACGCGCCCACACTCTAGGAGATGTTAAAAGGTGGATAACTTGCAAGCCTCTCCTGTCTGCCTCCCTTGTATCTATTGTGGCTTCTAGATAAGGTGATGCTCTGCTGAATTTTTTGTACATCAGTTTCACTATTTTCCTGGGATGAATTTTTTTTGTACTGTCCAATTTGTAACCATTCAGTTTCAGAGTCTGAGGCATTATTTATCTTCTGGACCCGCCTTTTGCTTATAAACTGTCCTGGGTTACCTTTTTTCTTGGTCTTAGTTTCTCTCTCCATTCCTTCAGTTCTAGGCTATGCTCTTCATCTAACTCTTTTAGTTTCTGAGTCTCATGTTCAACCAGTAGATGGCATTTTTCATTCTGAAAATAAGACAGATAATCCTTAAATAAAACTAATTTAGATTAGACAATTACCATTTGTACAGTAACATATGTTGTCCTAATTATTTTAAATCAGTTTACACTGTCTAATGTGATGTGAATTATTATAACGTAACACACTCTTATCAAGAGCTGATGTTTCCAACAGAACCAATGGTTTTGTGTTATAAAATATGGCATAATCAGAAATATTGTGAAATGTGTTTCAGTGGTGTAGAAGATAATGTCACTCAACACTGTATGTGTGTTATTGGCTAATCTATTCAGTGTCATGCACTGCATGCTCTGTATAGTCAAGGCAGTTTTGTAGGATTCAATTTAAGAGCCTATTACGTTAGAAAGTTATGCTTGCAATCATTTAGCCCTTGATTCCAGTAGTTGAGGCTGACTGACTAGTCAGAGGGGATATGTCTTTATGGAGGGAGCCTCAGATCACCACGATAAAGAGGTAAAGAGCAACAAATCATCATCATCTTGCTCCTGAAGCCAGCTGGGGGCCAAATTATCCCCTGCTACAGCTCAGAGCAGCCTTAAGGCAGCTCTAACTTACACCCAGCTGAAATGGCCCCCAAATGGTCTGTTCCTATAGTGGGGGCTCATTGAAGCACATCAGTTCTGTGGCCACGCCCATTTCCACAGGGTGCTATGAAAGAGAGTGGTGTAGCACCCGCTTCCTTGGCTCTATGCCACTGGGGGATTTCCCACTGCAAGGGGAATAATCGGCTGGTCACTTAACTCCTGCTTTAAATCTGCCTTATGTCACTGGAGCAGAAGAAAACAGACTTAATGGAGAACAGGATCTGACTCATGGTGTGCAGCAGTTGGTTTTACAACATACATGTCATGAAAGGACCAAAAATCGAGGCCTGTATTACTGAAAACGTAGTTCTGTTCCAGAACGGCAGATGTAATCAGCAACCTGCCCTTTGCAAGACAGACCTCACTGCATGTAGTACTATAGACCTGCTCTTATGGTGAGGTACTGACATCACTCAGAGCAACTGAAAATTCAACTAACAGAAGATGGAGCTGCCTTTCTGTTTTGAATACTGATTAAAAAAAAAAAAAAAACATTAACAAGAAATGTTGCCAAAGGAAAGTAGCAGTTAAAACAAAGATTGGTAAGCACTCTAAAAGGTAAGATTCCCTTACGGTTCATATTCTCTCTCTCTCTCTCTCTCTGTAAATCTCTTTATCATTAACTGAGTTATGGATATGAATCAAGAGTACAATATGCTGTATCCCTTAGAAAGGGAACGCATTAATTTCTATATGGATGGGTAATTATGTAAGAAAAACATCATTAAAACATTTTCCTAATCAATAAATTCAGAATTTGCTCAGTTTGTATTGATTAACTTGACTCTCTTCATACACTGCTTATTTTATGCCCTATATGTTTAACCTGTAATTGGTGCAGTTCTCTGATGTTTGCTTCACACTGCAACTGAAGGTCCCGCATTTGATTTTCATGTTTTTGATGCTGAGCCAACCTCTCATTTTTCTGCCTCTTTTCTTCTTGAGTAGCAAACTAAAATTAAAAACAAAGAGTAAGTGATTTATACTGTAGTACCCAATGCAGGTATATATTACAAATGACTTTTCCAGGGTTGTGAACATAATGGATTTACAGTATAACTGGACAGAACAACATAACAAGATTAAAGTCATCAGTGCAATTTCCTAATTCTCACTGCTTGAATTTTCCAATATACCCTTATCCAAGGCAGGCTCTTCCCCGCCATCTCTTCTCTGTCATGTCACTTCTCCATCTTTGTTCAAATCCCTTCCTAAAACTCACTTCTTCCATGAGGCCCTTAAAATAAGTCAATTATAGTTATTATGGGCCCAAACTCATCTAGTGTAAATCAACAAAGCTCTGTTGACGTTAATGGAGCAAACGGATTTGCACCAGTTTAGAATCTGGCTCTATATTTTAAAAAAATAATTAAACATTCAATACATGCATAAGCCATAAATGAGTAATCCTTCCCTCTCACCTAATATACTTTCACTCATTGCATCAAACCTAAGGCCCCAATTCTTCAAAAATGTATGCATGTGCTTAACTTTACATACTCAGTAGTCACATTGACTTCAATGGGATCACTTACTGTACGTAAAGTTAAGCATGTGTTAAGTCTCTGGATGGTTGGTTCCTAAAATTATCTGGTATGATCTTCAAGGCAAGAACTATATTTTACTAGTACTGCAGAGTGCCTACTAATTTGGGGGTCTCTGTAAAAATAACAATCAACATCATTCCTAATCAAGAATTAGAAGATATATAGATGATTGCATCAAAAACAGGCTGCCAAAAATCAGAACAATTTAAATGTCTTTGATTATACTCAACTGGAGAAGTAATCTAATCTGCAGCAGGCATTTCAGCTAACCTTATAAAAGGGGTCGGCAACCTTTGGCACCCTGGCGGGCCGGGCCTGTTTGTTTACCTGCCACATCCGCAGGTTTGGCCAATCGCGGCTCCCACTGGCCGCGGTTCGCTGCTCCAGGCCAATGGGGGTGGCGGGAAGCGGCGGCCAGCACATCCCTCGGCCCGCGCCGCTTCCTACAGTCCTCATTGGCCTGGGACGGCGAACCACGGCCAGTGGGAGCCGGGATCGGCCCAACCTGCGGACGTGGCAGGTAAACAAACGGGCCCAGCCCACCAGGGTGCTTACCCTGGCGAGCCGCATGCCAAAGGTTGCCGACCCCGCCTTATAATATGCACACAAGTTGGAAATATCAAAAACTATTGGGGCACACAACAAACTGATTTGTACAAACAAATTTGGAGAAGGATTAAGAGCCACTGCAAATACTTCTCTTAAACGCAAGTAGAAATGGCTGCTCCAGATTGACCCAGTAGGTAGAGTTCCATGATAAACAATCCAGTCTCCATTTTACAGTGGGATGATTTTAGATATATATTCCAAATTTAGTTGTGGCCATCAAACCTGCACAGAGGACTGGATGGTACTCTCTTTGAAACTCAATAAAATTATATTCCAAAAGTTGTCTGTGAAAGTGAATATTAAGCAATATAAAGTTCATAACATCCTGAGGCCAAATTACTTCTTTCACAGAATTTCAAGCCCTTGTTCACTTCTGACATACATAAAAGACTGACTCGGGACAGTCATGCAGCAGTACAGAGTAATATCTCTAGGCCTTCAAACTGATGCCTTTTAAAATACAACTGAATACATATAACTATACTTCAAAACTTCACAACTCAAGCACTTCCAGATATTTTAAACTACAGATGTTTGTTAGTCACCTGTTTAACCTTCTCACGATCCTGTTCTGGAGTGCCTGATGAGTTAATTCTTAAACTCTTCTTAAACATAGCCATTCGAGTCTTTGCTTCACTTCGCTGGATTTTGGGCAGTCTTGCTCTTTCCTGAGTTTGTCTGTTCTTTAACTCTTCAATAAGCCGTTGATTATATCGTTGCATCTGTTCTGTTTCCTAAAAAGATTTTGAACAAAAAGATTGTTTGTAATATTGCTATATGACTAACATATGTTTAAACATTTAGGCCTCAATTTAGCAAAGAACTTAAACATGTGCTAACGTCCATCCCATTTCTGCAGGGGTCTGCTTCAAAGCCTAGTGAAGCCAAGGGTGTCTTTCCATTGATTCCAAAAAGCTTTGGATCAGGTCCCAATCCATTTAAGTCAAGCATATACTCAAGTTCATTGCTGAATATGGACAGACTGAAACACATGCTTATATTTAGGGCCCTACCAAGTTCATAGTCCATTTTTGTAAATTTTACCATCATAGCATTTGAAAAAATCTTGAAATTCATGGTTTCAGATATTTAAATCTTAAATTTCATGGTGTTTTAACAACCATGAACATGTATTTTTAAAACAGCAAAATATAAACATGTAAAGTCCGTAAGACTCAGCATTTCTCAAACTGGGGGTCCCAACCAAAGTGGCCGGAGAGCTGTGGCTGCTGGCCTGGCGCCCAGCTTTGAAGGCTGCGCCCCCACCAGCAGCAGCGCAGAGGTAAGGGCAGCATGGTATGGTGGCATCAGTATTGCCACCCTTACTTCCACGCTGCTGGTGGTGGCAGCGCTGCCTTCAGAGCTGGGCAGCTGGACAGCAGCAGCTGCTGTCCAGCTGCCCAGCTCTGAAGGATAGGGTAAAAGTACACAAAAGTACACAAAAGACCAAATTTCACAGTCTGTGATGCGTTTTTCATGGCCATGCATTTGGTAGGGGCCTACTTATAGTATTTTGCTGAACTTGGGGCCTTACAGGGACATTGATGTTAAATATTCTTAAAGAAGACCTCTTTACCTATGTTAAAAATACCATAGGTTATTAAAACGCTAACTTTAGTGTAATTACTCTGGACTTACACCAGTGCAATGTAGCTCAGAATATGGTCAATAGCACTTTCACGTTCTCTTGCAGTAACACAATGCTGGAGTCATTGGACTCTAAACACTGCAGAGAACTATTTGTTTAAAGCACCTGCTACTACTGGAATAAAACACCAATACTAACAAGAACCCACTAATGGTAATATTTCTATTGGTTTTTGATTTTTAAAAGCTTGTTTTTTTAAATCTAACTTTTGGGCTAAATTTGACATAAGACGTATCTTGAACCCATTACTTTATAGGCCCGATACTACAAATGATTATGCAAATGGATGGGACTGATCACATAAGAAAAGGTGTAAACATGTATTTTTGGAAGATAAGTTTCTATATTTGTAACCCCAGTGCTCCCTTTTATGCTCCCTAATAGTTTACTGTTCTCACGTTACATCTGGTCTTAAATTTAGATTGTAATCTTTCTGGATAAGGAATATCTCTCTTCTAATTGCGAGGAACCTGGCTTACTCTGAGTGCTTGAAATATAAATAATGTGTTAATTACCAAACATGTCAAACAACTTTGACAAAGTGTCTCAATGTACTGACTGAAGCAACAAAATAAAGAGAAGAGAGATTTATATAGCAAGAAAGAAGCTACATAAGTTGAATGAACCAAGTTGTTGTAGACAAGTAAACTAGTAGTATAGATCACAAGATATTTTAATATACCACTGAAGGTTGTAATATAGAGGAAAGTGACAAACTCAGCACTAACTTTTTCATGCCTCTTAAGAAGCTGGTGTCTCTGCATGAAGTACTGATCTTTGAGTTGCTGTTTGAGAAGCTGGTGTTTTTCCTGTAAATGTCGCTCTTCTAGCTCCCAGATTGCAGCTTCACGAGCTGGAGGAGGAGGAGGAAGTTTGTTCCAGAAAGTACTACATAATATTTTCTAATCTACACATATATATAAAATTACAGGGATATTTTAATTTAAAAGAAATTATAAAAACATATTTGTAAGAAGCCATTAATATAGATATATACCACACCACCATATCTAATAAAATGATCAATAGTTACAATTTTAAGAACATAAGAATGACCATACTGGGTCAGGCCAAAGGTCCATCTAGCCCAGTATCCTGTCTGCCGACACTGGCCAATCCCAGGTGCCCCAGAGGGAGTGAACCTAACAGCTACTGATCAAGTGATCTCTCTCCTGCCATCCATCTCCACCCTCTGACAAACAGAGGCTAGGGACACCATTCCTTACCCATCCTGGCTAATAGCCATTAATGGACTTAACCTCCATGAATTTATCTAGTTCTCTTTTAAATCCTGTTATAGTCCTAGCCTTCACAACCTCCTCAGGCACGGAGTTCCAAAGGTTGACTGTGCGCTGTGTGAAGAAGAGCTTCCTTTTATTTGTTTTAAACCTGCTGCCCATTAATTTAATTTGGTGGCCCCTAGTTTTTATATTATGGGAACAAGGAAATACCTTTTCCTTATTCACTTTTTCCACACCACTCATGATTTTATATACCTCTATCAAAGCCCCCCTTAGGCCTGGTCTACACTAAGGGAGGGAGATCGATCCAAGTTACACAACTTCAGCTATGTGAATAACATACTTAGATTTAAGCGGTGTCTTCACTGCGGTAAATCAATGGCAGACGCTCCCCCGTCAACTCCACCTGCGCCCCTCGCCCTGCTGGAGTACCGGAGTCGATGGGAGAGCGCTCGGCGGTCAATTTATCGCGTCTAGACTAGATGAGATAAATCGACCCCCGCTGGATCGATCACTGCCCGTCAATCCAGCCGGTAATGTAGACAAGCCCTTAGTCTCCTGTTTTCCAAGCTGAAAAGTCCTAGCCTCTTTAATCTCTCTTCATATGGGGCGCGTTCCAAACCCCTAATAATTTTAGTTGCCCTTCTCTGAACCTTTTCTAATGGCAGTATATCTTTTTTGAGATGAGGAGACCACATCTGTATGCAGTAGTCAATGAATACTGTATTCATTGTATTTAAGAAATAATATAAGAAAAGCGTTACCTGGAAATGTCTTGAGTAAATTTTTTTCTTTATAGAGTTATAAGTAAAATTCAAAATTATGTGACCAAAACTGTGCAAATTAATAGGTATGGCTGAGTCCAAAAAGGCAAGGTACATCTCAAAAAAGAATTATTTTAACACATTACTTTTCTGCTAGCAGAACAAAGGCATTTTAAATATAGTACTGTTTCATATTAAAGATATGCTTTTAACTACAGTTTCAATTTTAACTCTGGATGTCCTTGATTTTACAGATTTAAGTCAGACTTTACTATTCCTCTAGCAGCTCTCTTTGAGATGAAAAGTTGCATATAAAAGAGAAGAAAATCTAATTTTAAAGGAGAAATTTGATGATGATACCTCTCATAAGCTGCTGCTTGTTATTCAGGCAGTCTCGTTCAATATTGGCTAGTTCTGTTTTTTGCTGCTGGATGATTTTCTTTAGAGATGCATCCAATTCTTGTTGCTGCTTCTGCACAAATTCTTGTTCCTATTAAAAACCAGGGAAAATAGATTAAGTTGCTTTATTCTATTCATACTAAATTTTTAATGAGATTCCCAGAACAATTCTTTGTTCCCTTGATTAGATTGCAAACTAAACACATTTATGAAAATTTGGCCTACAAATACATCTGCTATAAAATTATCCACTTTTGGGGATATCCAGTAAAAGAGAAAGGGTACAGAATATTTAATTACACTTTTAGAAATAAGACAGAAAGCAATGAACTAACCAAAATCTGCAGTTATTTCTATGATGAGAGTAAAATGTAATATGAGTTTGATTAGAAAAAATAATTTACATTTTCTCAAATTAAATTAGCAACTGGTCTGAAAGTGGGTGGAAACTGCATCTACAGCAGTGCAAAAGAGGTCAAAAACTAAACCTTTTATTCCCTGAACCAGCAGGAGCTACTACTGTTGCTTAAATAACGTGTCAACACCAGTAACTTTATTATACCACCCTGGTGGTTTCGCCTGCCCAATTTAGGTGGGAAGCTTATGAAAAGAAAGCCTTGGCTCCTGACCTTGGTTGGCTAATGGTACTGTCATGCAAGATGCATGGAAGGGCTGGTATTAAGTCCTACTAATAAGGAGCAGTCTTCCATGGGAAGAATTTAAAGAGGAGAAAAATATGCGGCTTATGTAACTGTGGGATCAGTGTTTGAAGATCCCTCCTACCTAGGCTCTACGTTTTGGAAGGGCCACATAACGTAACCAAATGTGACAGCAGCTGCATGGGATTGAAGAAGCCCTGCAGTAGCCAATAAAGGAAAACCAACCATGTGCTAAAAACTGAACCCATGTTCACTCAAAGCCAAGTACAATCATTATGTTGTTAGCTACTCTTTATTAAGCAATGCTTAGAGCTAACAAGCCTTCATAAACTAATAGAAACTATCTGCACATAATTTATTCAAATAACTTTTAAATAAAATAATTACTTTTCATATGTGTATATTTATTTATATCACTAGGGAATAAAAAATGAGAAAGTCATATTGATATAGGCCCCAGTCCTGCAATTTGCTCCATGTGGGTAGAGCCCTGCATGGAGTGCCACTCCCTAAGGTGCAAAGGTCCTCCTGTGCAGAACAAGCTGCAGGACTAGGAACCTAATTTGTAGAAATAACAAAAATATTTATTTGCAAAGTTAAAACCCCCCACCCCCGCCCCCATGCACACACACAAACAACCCAGAAAAACTCTGATACAATAAAGTCACCTGTAGTAAAGAGTGTAACAGTCATGATTTGTTTGGGATTATTATTCAAAGCCTATTTGTGTGCACACTTTGCATGGCTACGTCTAAGTTATTTAGTCAAAATAAAACAGACATTACACAGTTCACTATCATCTATCCACACTCTACAGTTGACTCATCATTTTTATATAGCTACTCATACAGGCAAGCATGCACGCACACTGTAGCGGCACAAACAGCTCCTGCTCCCGTTTTGTTACCGGCGTGCTGAAGCTGCGGGGGAGGGGCTTTTGCTGCCGGAGCAGCCCCCAGTGAGCGGCTCAATCCGGCGCGGCTGCCCTGTCAGCCGCTTTTGGGTCTTTAAATAGCCGTCCGGGGGGAAATCCCGGACATTTTTAGCTTTTTACGAATTCCCCCCGGACGGCTATTTAAAGACCCAAAAGCTGGACATGTCCGGGGAAACCCGGACGGATGGTAACCCTACATAAGGAGAATACATACCTTAGTGTTGTGTTAATTTTGTCTTTAAACTTATAAAGGCAGATTTTCAATAAAATGTTACTAAACTTGTTAGTGAAAGTGTCTTAGTAAAGTTGAGTTCAATAACTTAATGAAGAGTTCTGAAATAGTCACTGATATTTTTGTTGTTGAAAGTTACCTTTACAAAGTGTATATTATTTTGTTAAGCACAGGCTCTATGAAAAGCAATAAGTAACCTTTTTACACTGTGAGTTGGAAGTGTCCTTGTTTTAGTGCTCATGAATTCAGAAAATTGACATGCATTGCTTAGGGGCTATCAAAGAAGCTTTTCTGCTGCAATAGTCAACAAGTTTGACTATTTTTACTGCACTTGCAATATACAAATAGACTAAAGGCCTGATTTAGCAAAGCACCTAAGCACGAAGATAGCTGTGGTCTAAGTAAGGACTTATTTACACTTACATTTTATAGTGCTCTAACTTGCTGGCTCAGGGGGTGAAAAATCACCCCTGAGTGCAGCAAGTTTGAGCGCTTTAAAGCGCTAGTGTGGACAGGTTCAGAGCGCTGCTCCCAGAACTCTGATCTTTTCCCTTCGTGGAGGTGGATTACCAGGAGCGCTGGGAGAGCTCTCTCCCAGTGCTCACGCGTGACCACACTCACACTTCAAAGTGCTGCCGTGAGAGCACTCCCGCAGCAGCGCTTTGAAGTTTCTAGTGTAGACGTAGTCTAAGTCATTGGGTATTTGTGTGGAATTTAGTGTCCTGTGATATATAGGAGGTCAGACTAGATCAGGGGTGGGCAAACATTTTGGCCAGAGACCACATCTGGGTATGGAAATTGTATGGTGGGCCATGAACGCTCATGGAATTGGGGAGTGGGAGCAGGGCTGGCTCCAGGCACCAGCCGAGCAAGCTGGTGCTTGGGGCAGCAGATTGAACGAGGCAGCATTCCG